CTAATCTGACTAGCGATTGCGGTTGATGTTGAGCACGGCGTTACCACACGTGATCTGGTGCGGATGCATGACCGAGCGCCTTCAGCTAGATGAGTCCACTAAAACATATGGTCAGCATCCAATATCGAAAACTTAGAGCTATTTATTTTGGGGATTTATTTACAGCTACAATCTCAAATTACTTCATTTTTCTTATTTCAAAACCGGATACATAAAAGTGTTTTGATATAACTGATATGTAGATAAATTTGTACTTTGATAAGGATAAATTATTGACGCAAATAATAGTGTGTAATGATTTTAAACTTAATAAAGCAATGGACTTTGTTAACAAATTCAATAGGAAATTAGCGAAAATTGAAAACACGTTTCATTTATGCGTCGGTTGTAATGCAAAACAAACATAAATTGCTCTGACATCTATACAGCATTTACACTTGAAAAATAATTAGAAGGTAGGGGTATGATCGCTTCCTTCATACTGCAGGATTTCCCCATTGAAACATCAAAATATGCCTTTTTAAAAATGAAAATGTTCAAAAACATATATATCTTGTAATAATTTAAATTTTATCTTGGTACACGTATTGTAATCATTATATTTGTTCTATCCACAGCTCCATGTCAATTTATATAAGCTGCTCGCATTGCTTGCTAAATACTGTACTTCCTGGCTAGATGTGTGCAGATGTTTAGTTTTGGTAAAATGTATAAACTTAACTGTTGTTGCCAGAAACGTTATCATTGAGGTTGATTCACTTACTTCTCGCAAAGTTGTATATAATTATCTAAAATCTAGTCTTAGGAAGCGAACAATTTTGCGTGTAACCTTATTTTGTATTGTAAAGCGAGGGACTGCTCAGCATATTTTATTTGTTGACTTAATTTACTCGTATGTTGGGACTCCTCCGAAAAGCACGACGAAGCCTCCACAGGCTTGAATGGGGACTAAGAGATTCGGTTCAACCTGAATCTGGAGGAATCTTCTAGATTATCGACGTGACATGCTGTGATTGGACAACTGAATAACTTTTCACCTTAGAGACTGATTGGATTTTAATGATGATGTAGCCAATACTAAAACTATAACCCTGTTTTTCTGTACGTTTCTGTTTCTTACCAAATAACCACTTCCCTCGCTTCTTCCATCTTTTCATATGGGACTGTGTTATTCAACATATTCCATTGCTTATAATTATGTACTGTATTCTGCCGTAACCAAGTAGAAAACGTAACAATTTAGTAAATAGAATAAATGAGACTTTCACGATGATATCTTACTGAAAGTAAAATTTAATACATATTGACAATTACTTGAATAAACAAGTTAAATTCTTCGAGTTAAGAAACTTATGAAAACTATATATTTAATAATTGAATTCATCAGTCAATTGAAGCTAGACCATCATTTAAAACCATTTAAAAGTGAATTTCAGAGAAATGATCTGTCAATTTATCTTAATTAGTCTTAATAAAATTGTTTAACTTCGCTTCTCACTGAAATTACGAAAATTTTTAAAAAAAATAAGTTAGCCAAAATTGTTCTTTAAAGGTGATTTTTATTGTCAAGTGGAAACAGTGACTGGAAAGAACTGGAAGTTTTTATCTGGTCTAGGTGCATCCTTCAAACAAGTACCAAGCTTTGACGAAACAACTGTATATAGCTCTTTGATCGAATAAATATAATCAACTTATTTCTGATTACCATATCTTTTCAATAAAATTTTTGTACTTACTTTCACTTGCTAGATTTTATTACGCTCTATTTGGTTAAGTATTCTGATAGATATGAATATATTGAGGGAGGGGATTAACAAAGTAGTAAACATTAGTAATAATAATAATAATAATATTAATAAGACTACGATAGATAAGCTGTACAATTTTTATCAATACAGAGAAACAAGAAGGGGGTAAAGCTTGTTCCTTTTAATTCAGATAATGGTAAGAATGCAGTGAAAAAAAATAGTTCATCAAAAGATTAATTACCGTTTTTCTTTTTGCTAGTGAAACAAATAAAATTATATATAATAAGAATGTAGCAATAAAAGAAAGAAAAATATTTGTGCAGGAGAAATAATAATTTCATTGCTACTATATCATTTTTTTTGTAATAATGCTAATGTTAATGCATTTGTTTTAATCTTCTTACCAGTCTACTAAATTCTGCTAACACTTATACATTTATATGTGTATGTAAGTAAATGCTTAATAGTGTGTCTTCATAATTCAGTCATCGCTTTTGAATAATATTTTTAGTTTATTTCTTATTTTATCTTTTCTTTCAAGACAGTATTATTCGTTCTCTTTTAAATAGTCTCCTATTGAAAATAATTAATAGAAACATTTAGTTAAGATAATAAAAATTCGTGATAAGATGAACTATTCTCTAAAGTATTTCAATAACGAATTAAGGTGAATCAATGCTCATATGTATACGCACACACACACACACACACTTAGTAATATGAATACACACGTAAACCTACAAGTATGATTTATAAGTTGATTTATTGAATAGGAAATGAGATTCTCAAGCGAATAATAAACGTGTTATATTGAATTTAAAAACAAATTCTATGTAGTATAAATACTTAGATAATCTCTTTTTCTTTTAGTATTCTTATCTTCATGATAAGAATAAGTATATCCTATTTACTCAGATATCTAATAATCAATGAATGAATGAATGAATGAATTATAATAAGAATTACCATAATTATTAAATGACATGATTATCTTTTTATCTGTTCACATTGGATTCTTATTTCTTTTTCTTAGGTGTTCGTGCATGTAGATATGTATATCTGTGTGCGTGTGAACTTACTTGTTTTCTAGGTGTACATAGGATTAGTTACATGTTTTAATGTATCTTTTTTGATAATATCACGAATGAAAAGTAGATATTCTTGAAAGCATAAATACACATGTCTATGCATATCACCTACATACATACCTGCATAAGCATATACTTAATCCTGTTAGTATTATATTATGAACGGAAAATGAAGTAGGTTTTATATATCACTGAGACAGATGAATTAGACTTGAATAAAAGCAAATAACAATAAAGTAGAATAAAGACTTAAAAGAAAATTCGGATAAAGTAACTGGATATAAAACGAAAAGGACAGAAGAAAATTATGAATACTAATAATAATATCTTGATTTATATAAAATAATAAATTTGTCATAATTTCTTGTACAATATCGTCATCATGTATAGGTAAGCAAAATTTGTTTATTTGTATAAATTCAGTCGTATTTGTAATTATGAAAGTAAATTAATAGACTGTCTAGAACTTTATAAATTTTGTTGTTGTAAATATACAAAATAAAAAAACATCTACTTAAATATCAATTACAAGAAATTCAGAGAAGATATTTCTTCTCAACAAATTTTTCCTTAAATTGTATACAGAGATTAAGGGAATATTTCCTTTAGCTAAACTTTGACTAACACTGAACTCCAGATTCTTGAAAGACAAGCTTTTACTTATGATTGTCTATAGGTTAATCTACTTCTATGGATCGAGGTATATTGTTCGTAGTTGGCGCTCTCATCTAAGAACATGTTCCTATATGTTTTTTCCAAAGATAAACGAAAGTGATCGAGACTCTAAGTTCTGGAAATACTTGTTTTAAACATCGGAGAACATTAAATTTACATGTTAACATTATCAAAGGATGGTGAATCGCATAGTATGGCTAAAGTCAGAAATGCATACCGTTGGAACTCTAAATCAGTGGTCTGAAGGTTAAGTACTGATTGTTTGTTTGATGTGGTTATGGATATAATAACTAAGTAGTCTCGTACTAAAATGAGACAACTACCTAACAACGTGAAACTTCAAATTTAAAAATCTCAATAACACCTTATAGATAAAGAATATACATCACACCTTGTTTTTACTCTGATCTTAACCTGATATCAGCATTTTGATTTATATGTAAAAGTGTTTACCTCTTAATTTTTTCACTCGTTTGCTTTAATTTGCTTGATCCTCATGTTTATCGTCATTATTGTTCAGATGATGAAACAACAAAATTAGTTATTTTTACTGACATTCTATTCACATCATAAATTCTTGTTATGCTATTTTTCACGAACCCGTTCTTCAACTACTTTCTTCAATTAGTTTTCATCTAGCATTTATTGTCATAAGTCTAAATATATACTTCATTGCGACTATTATTTTTTTGTTATTCTTCCATTACTAACTACTGTTGATTTACCTGATGGTGACCGTCAGTTAAGACGAGGCTCGAGTCCTGAGCTCCACTGCTGTCCACAATACAAAATTACTGTGATATATATGTAAATATATTGTTAAGGTAAAATGTTTTAAATTTTACTTGACTTCTATGATTTCCATAAAAAGTATAGTTGAAACATTATTTACTCAGTAATTCAATTATTTAATTATCATATGACTAGATTATATATATATATGTCTTTTATCATACAGTTTTGGTTAAACTATTAACCACTATTATATGATTTTTCATTCTTAATTTACTCTCAAACTATTATTCAGTCTCGCCTACTTTCAGCTGATATTGCGTTGATCACATGTACTTGTTATTCTTTATTTTATAGCATTATGCATATATATATATATAACCTATACACAGCAAAGACGAGAAGACTGATACTGGCCTAATACTAACAAGGCTCGACTAAAAAGGAAGAACACGAGACTATTGATCATTAACACGATTTCGTTATCATATTTCGAACAGACGCAATTTAAATACGATGAAACCAGATTGCATATTGCTATAAAATAAGAATAACAAGTACATGTGATCAACGCAATATCAGCTGAAAGTAGGCGAGACTGAATAATAGTTTGAGAGTAAATTAAGAATGAAAAATCATATAATAGTGGTTAATAGTTTAACCAAAACTGTATGATAAAAGACATATATATATATAATCTAGTTATATGATAATTAAATAATTGAATTACTGAGTAAATAATGTTTCAACTATACTTTTTATGGAAATCATAGAAGTCAAGTAAGATTTAAAACATTCTGCCATAACAATAATATTTATAATAGTAAACGTATGTTTAGAAGATTTATGGAAATGTCCAAGGGAATGGTAAACAGTAATATGTTTTAAAAAGATCACATAAAGATATACTGTGGTATCATCGATTTTAACTTATGAATGGGATACAGACTAGGACGAAATAACTATTCCCTATTTCATGATTTTCAACTGTTCTCTAGCTGACTTAATTCTGTAAAGAAAGAAAAAATTATTTTAACTGTTGTACATATAATTCACATACAGACAGTCTAGAGCGTTTATCTATAATAGATTTAGGAAATAGTTGAGAGTTTTAGAGATACTGTTCTGTCATTTGATTTATCATTCATCAAAATTATTAGTTCTATACATAAACGTATCTAACTACGACAGGAGTATAATTCGAACCAATAAATTCTTTTCGTTATATCATTGAATAAATAATTAGAAATTATTATGTTTAGTCATATTGGTAATTTTGTTAAATATTGTCTCTAGTTCATTTTTGTTTTCGTCTATTTTTATTTTGTTTATTTTTTTATTTTTTTTATTTTGTTGAGTTGCAACAACATAAAATTCTTTTTTTTTATTTATAACAATAAAATTTAAAAATAATAAACCATCCATCGATTTATCTAACAAATTTTTTCCAATTAAATTAAAGAAAAAATTATTTAAAATAAATGATTATAGTGAGATAATAATAAGAAAGAAAAAATAAAAGAGAGAAAAAAATGAAGAGAAAAAAATTAATTACATTTCCTTGTTATCTTCCTTTTAACATTCAACATTCATTCAATCATAAAAAATTTAACTATCAAATATATAAATACATTTTAATATTAAGTTTTGTATGTATCTTTATATATTTAATGTGTAAATAGCTGTAAAAAAACAAAACATGTATTCTATAAACAAATAAGATGTATGTATACACACATAGCAACTAAATGTTCATGTATATCTATAAACAGACTAAATACTATTCACATTTGAGAAAATAATTGATGAGAATTATGTTTAAATTGACCAATCAACTATCAATATTAAGTATTTATATTCATTTTGTTTTAGTTTTTTTTTGTTCTCTATCCGTCAAAATCATTCATTTTGTCGTTATTTACTAAAACTGAAAAATGTCATTCGTAAATAGAGAATGATAATAATTGCTTTGAATTAACAGTTATATTATGATGTTATTCTTTCTAATATCTGCTACCTAAACCTGGAGTGTTATTCATTATTCAAATATTTTAATCATTCAAATAATGTTTGTAAGAATATCAAGGGATTTCATTTAATAATTTGTAAGTTTAACTAATTTTGTACTCGTTTTTTCAATAGAATTTACTTTTAACTTACTGAATATTATAGTTAAACCATTAGAATTGTTAAGCCAAGGATTATCATTTATTAAACAATACCTAATTGTAAAAATACATATTATATTAAAAATGTTTTGTTATAAAGTTAGACTTTAACTATATAATTTAATGAGAGTAGTATAAAGGGTACGTAAAATCATCTATAACAATTTACAACAGCAATTTTAGTAACATAAATTCATTATTCTATTGGTTTCATATTTTCTAAACTAGATGATAATCAATCGGGAATTCTTCATCATCAATAAGTGTTTAAAAAGAAATCAGTTATTAGCAAACATTTATAACCGTCTAATGCCTTGACATGCCAACACGGAATACTACCATTTATTTGTCATTAATAATGATTATATAATTCTACTATGAAAAACATTCTAAGACGACTTTTATGATGGTTTTGTTTCGGTAAATACATTACTTACATATTTATATCACATCAAGATAAGCTGAATACTATAAACTACTTCTGTGAGCTCCAACCAACTGACCATTTCCAGTAAATTTCTCTTGTTAAAACAATCATGTTTTCTGAATAACGGTAGTTAATTTCTTCTTTTATAATAATGTGACTAAACATTGATATTTAAATAATTAGTTAATTTATTATCGAATATTGCACTGAAAGTTTCGATAAATTGAATGATCAATTATTCATTTTAGCGAGATAAGAAGTTAACAAGTGTTTTGGTTATTAACTTAATACATCTGAAGTACAAAATAAAACTAAGGTAAAACATTTTTAATTTATGTAGTATATATGTCATTTTTAACCTGCGTAGTTGAAGGATATTTGTATCCTTTGTCTAAATTTTAATTAACCTATGAACCAATCTTATCATCTTATTATGTATATTCTCATGATTACCCAATTCTAATGTTATCCTACTTTCCAAGCAGATCTATCAATTAAACTAAATAAATAATCTTTTACATTATTTTGTAAATATCTGAATTAATCGTGCTTTAAATATTTTAAATTAGAGTACAATAGAACTCTGAGTACATTCGATAAACTTGATTTTATATGATCTATAAGACATATTGTGAAATAGAAGAAAATAAACATCCATGAGTTAAGTAAAGTATGGTCATTGAAACTTTTTTTTACTTACTTACTCACTTCTGGTTAGCGTTTTTTAGCGAGTTAGTTTTCTACGGGATGAAGTCGCTAACCCAATGCTCAACCCTCCTCCTTTATCCGGGCTTGGGACCGGAAGTAACCCCAGGGAAGCTCCAAGCGGAGTTGAAACTTTACATTACAATAAACTGATTCACTGAAATGATTGATTAATTAATTAATTATTTTGTAGATTTTTGTCCTTTAAAATTATTTTTACCCTTGAAGTTAGATCATTCAAGTGTTCAATTATCCTTTTTAATTACAAATATCAATAATATTCCCATTTTGAAAAAAGTAAAACGAAATTACATTCGAAATTTTATTTTATTTTATAAGTTATTACCTAAAGTTTTCATTTCGATAAAACGATTAATTTCTTCTTTAAAATATATATAAAAGATTATCATTTGTAATATCAAAACATGTTTTTATGCATAATTATCGATTGAACAATAATAAACCAGTACATATGTTGAATGATAAACAAAATTAATCTCTAAAAGAACTGTTACTATAAGTGGGACTTTGAGACATTATATACTTTGAAGAATTTGAGGTACATATGCACCATGGGTTCAAGATTTCTTACAGATTCTTTACCTCTTAATAAATAAACACTGATTTTTCAATGCCTTTCACATTAAGGTATTTAAACTAACTGAATTAAAACATTTTAAAACTTAATTGACCAAAAAGTGCATATCCAACATTGCTTTACAGAGTAAATATGTTTTTAACTTCATATTGAACCAAGAAACTTTGGAGTGCTGATTATCAGCTTAACGCAGACATGAAACCTAAAGTTCTTCTAGTTCTTTACTTTATTGTGGCATTGAGTGATGAAATCAGTAGTTATCTACATAAAACATGTCAATCACATTAGGATGAAAACAGGCCTCCATATAGTTGATGTAATATAACGCTACTTGTCACGGATTAGCGCCAAATAATATTCTTAATGTTCGAGTGAGAACTAGAAAAACGGTAAGTAATTGAATGCTGCTGTTCCAGTGGTTCAAACAATGCCCATATTAGTAAATAATTAACTTTCCAAAAAACTAATTCTAAAGTAGTTTTATCATATTACAAATAACGAAACTTAATATCATCAATGGAACATTACCCTTAAAGCATGGTCATTTCTTGATAAACAGTTTCAAGTATTTTAAGATGCAGAAAAAATAACAAAAGTTACGCTACTTTAATATAAGTAATGATAATTTCACAAACGTGACTGTCTATAGCAGACTTTCAAAGAACTCACGTCTTAAAATGTGATAAATAAATTAAACAGAGTATTTAAGTGTAGGTAATTTACGGTATTTCTAATATCAATGTACATTCGTTATTATGTGTGATAGATGTTAGGTATAATTGTTATGTATATCACTATAATGTCCGGCAATTTCGAACTATACAGAAGTTAACTAGTTCTAGTGAAAATAATCCTAAATGTTTTAGTACTAGTTAGCTGGATGTATCGGTATCCCGGAATTAATGTTCACTCCCGAACTCAAACCAAGTACCCTCGTCCTGGATTCCACTGCTAGACACCATCATTTCTGATTATAGTGTTAAATGTTTGTTCAGAGTAACTGCAAGGCATTTTTTTTATATAAAACTAAGTGAATAAGACTTAATATCAAAGAAAAAAAAACTGAAATGTGATTTCGCTTTTAGTTAATACCTTAAGTGTGTAGTGCACCATGTGACAACGTTGAAGAACCCTGGACACATTTTTCTTAAAATTCCAACTTTCATCTATACACTTAATGAAATATAAACTCATTGTATAATACGTTCCATAAAGTTAATCTGATTGTATAATTTTCAGTAACTGGAATAGCTTGTATCAAATAACCACTCTTTTTTAAAAGCCTTTCACATATTTTTCCTTAAGCTTTTCTTCTTTTCCTTCTCAACAGTTCATTGAATTTAGATTACAACATTTATATGGTTTAATGTTAAACATAACTAGAAACAAAATCGTTGAAAACTTGAACAATTCAAACTCTATTATTATTAAAAGTAACTTTATAATGTCAGAGTTGAAATTTTGCTCAAAGTGTAAACAATGCATCAAAGAAAGTCATTACTTATTAGCTGATTGTCAATACTGGCATGAAGATTGTCTACGTTGTGTATGCTGTGATGCTAGATTAGCTGAATTAGATAAAATTTTCTACATTAAAGCTAGGATGTCATTATGTCGAAGAGATTATCTAAGGTAAGTAAGTAGTCAATGTATATTTTTAAGTATTTTAATAAAGTAAAATAACACTAGTTCATTAAGTAGGTATCATTACCAAGGTTTGACTTGATAATTTCTAATAAACTGAGCATTGGGTAGATTGTTATAAATAAATAATATATTTGTAATATCACATTGAATAGAAAAATTAGATTTTCTGACGTTTCGTGACTTAGTGTATTCCACTTCTTCAGAGAATAAATAAATAACTAAATCAAGATGATCTTACAAATTAAACTCTGTCCTTTCTCACCATAAATGTCATACATTTTTCATCCTTAACATTACACACTCACATATATACAAATTTACATACATGTCGCTTATGAATCACCTTGACCGAAATGATGTGACATGGATTTATTCAGACCTGTTTTTGACTGATCACATAAATATTCTTGTGTTGTTCCGTTGTACTATTCAAACTTGAATAAATCTTGATTTGTTTATTTATTTATTCTCTGAAGAAGTGGCTTACACTTAGTCACGAAACGTCAGAAAATCTCATTTTTCTACTCATTGTGATATTACAAATATATCATTTATTTATAACTAGTTCAGTAAGTTAAAATACAAAATACTTGGCGTAATAATATCTGTTTAAATTGTGCTATGAATTTATCAGGACTTCAAAAATGACACTGACCACTTTTGAATCACTCAACAATAGAGATTACGTTAGTCAGGAAGCATAATACTTTTCTACGTTCCAGATATTGAAAAACAACGAAAAGCATCAATCTTAAATGGAAATTATGATAGAGAGTATTTTTTAAATCATAACAGTACAAACCGATTGTACAAGACAAGATACCTCATTTGTTAAAATAACCATATAAATAGACATAATCTACCAAAACTGATTCCCCACTTCATGTAGAAACTCATGTAGAAACCCATGTACAAATTATATTAGTTTCTATTTTTAAACGAAAGGCTACAAATGATCATATGAATATTTTATAAACTTCTATTAACCGGTAGACTTGTTTTCTAATCTCCAAAAATGTAAGTCTATCATGTCACCATTTTACTTCTCAGAAATTTTGCGTCAATTATAGTGTAAATTTTATTTCCAAAAATCGACCACCGAATCAGTAAATTTATTCGTTTTCGTAAAACTATCGGTCTCAAGCCCGGGTAAAGGAGGACGTTTGGGTGTAAAGTCGGCAACCCCATCCCGTAGAAAACAATCTTGATGAAGAAACGCTAACCAGAATTCTCATAAAACTGAGTTCCATCCGGAATTTTAGTGGTCATCAACAGTAACAAGGCAGTCAATACATCAAATTTCCTAAAAATTCCAAGTCGCTTTATTTAATTCATCTAAATCTTATTGAAACTAGATTTTATGCGAATAAATGTCTACTTTCATGAGCTATTAAAATAGATTCTCTTATTAGACAGAACAAGGAGGGAGGCATTTTACTTTTGACTATTTTTTCAGTATTCCTAGTGTTAAGATTCGAAGTAAGGTCGACTGAGGATTCCGTAAATACTAATTATTATCTACACATGACTAGACAAATTGGTGAGACTATAATTTATGGACAACCTTTGGATGACTCTAAAGTGACCTTGAGACGGCACACCTACTTATTAGGGTCAAAAGAGGGTTATAAGTTAGTATGAGTAATTAGGATTCAGATTTAGAGTTAGAATTTAAGGTTACGAATTAAAGTAAGGGTTTTTATCACTAACCGATATCAGCTATACTCCTAAGATATTATTTAACGATATGAATGAATAGATTTCGCGCCAAAATCAAAACTCGCAATCCCTGATTTCGTTTATTCGTCCCTGAATTAAACTCTCACCGACAAATCAATTACATGATATGTGATATTACTTTGACACTGGTAATCTCTCATGAGAAAGAGTACACGAGACTTTCTAGAGAACTTTTGAGAAAATTGAATTACATGAACAAATATTACGGTACATATAGTATTATACGAGATGAAACAACAAATAAAAGCGAGTATTAACTATTAACCACATCATAACATGATCATAATAAATCAAGGTGTGAAAGGTTACAGAAATAATTGTTGTTGTAGCAACATCAATAGGTCAGAATAATACTGATTGTAGTAAACCGTTAAATTTACGTATATCACATGAAGATCACCAAGACAGAAAATAGCCCAAACATCAAAACGACAAAATGTTTTGCAATTTGTTATTTTCATGTAATATCATTCGTTTGACAGCTTGGAGCCTCTCAATGCCATTCCAATAAGCCATATTGCCAATCTGGTTTTCTTTTAAATCTTCAAGCGGATGAAACTTTTGAGTAACATGTTCATTGTCCTAAAGATTGTTTCATGCAAAAACTACGTACCCATCAAGTTTAAATTTAGTGGTATATACCTTTAGCTTCAACTATTTTGTGGTATAATATGGCTCATGATCGATGTTATTGATGAGTTAATACCACAATTTTAGCGTAACCAACTCCCTATGTTACAGCATTTCACTAGACCCAAATATCTAGCCATTATATCTTGATTTTTAACAGCTTTTCAGTTGTTCTAGTTCTGGGTTCAAAAGTCTATCTTCAAATTCACACAATTTTGTTGACCATGTCAATATAAGAACAATTTTATTATTATTTTTCTTCTCAAAATTACATTTTAGATTGTATGGTAAAACGGGTGAATGTTCCATCTGTCAGAAACAAGTACAATCATATGAATTTGTTATGAAGATAAAAAATAGTGTTTATCATTTATCTTGTTTTTGTTGTCAATATTGTCAAATGAGGTAACTAATTAATTAATTATTTTTTTATTTTTTATTTATAATAATAGAAATAATATTTACATTATGAAAGGAAGTCAAAAGACATTTTTAAGAAATAAAACACTAGGAAAAAAATCTTTCATATACATACCGTCATAAATTACAGTGATATTTATCAGTGAACATGTAAAGTTTAGTTAGAGTACCTTCATATTTTGATCGATCAGAATGAAATCATTGTGAATTGATTAAACTATTCTAATTAATTTAATATAAATTTCTTAAACGGAGTAAAACTGTTTTTTCAGACAAGTATTTTTGTGCACAAACTTCATTTTATATATGCTCATTGATATCAACAATCTAAGCATGTTCGGAATGCGATTCTCCTCCTTGAAATGCAAAATGTTGCTTCAGGATTGGTTTGCATTGACACCTGAATTGATGATAGGGAGTGAAGTAGTTGAGCGTATCGACTGCTTCACTTATCTTGGGAGTTTAATCAGCCCTTATTGTCTGGTGTGTGACGGAATCTCAGCATGGATACAGAAGGGTCGACTAGCTTTTGTCAACTTGCGTCATTTATGACGTACGTGAGGTATCTGTCTATCAACCAAAGGACGTGTTCACTGCACATCAGTTCGTTCTGTCCTATTATTCGATCATAGGTGTCTTCGAAGCATTTCTCGTATATCCTGAGACCATCGAGTAAGTGACGCAGCTGTTAGGAACCGGGTACTAGGTAAGGATGGCAAATCAATTGATGAAGTAGTGAAAATTCATCAGTTGAGATTGCTGGGACACGTGTCACGCATGCCCAACCACCGACTGCGTTGTTTCATGGCGTAGGAGTAGGATGGAAGAAAGCTAGGGGCGGCCAGACCAAAACATGGCACAAATCCATGAAGTCACTGACAAGTGGACTGAGCCATGTTGGTAAGTGTAGACTACCTGGTTGGGGACCGCGAGACGACAGCAACCGATGGTTATAGACCTTGAATGATACCACCATCAACAGCTTGCTGTAGATAGGACAAACCAGCTTCCAAATGGAGAAAGAAATTTGGAGAAGACGTTGGAAGTGAATAGGATGTACATTACGGAAATCACCATACTGCATTCTAAATAGGGATCCTGAAGGGAAACGGAAAAGTGGAAGGCCGAGGAACACACTACGTCGGGAATTGGAAGAACAGCAACTGGAAATAAAACTCGAAAGGGCTGCCCAGGACGGGGTCGGATGGAGAGTGCTCGTGGGCGGCCTATGCTCCTCCATGAGGGGTGACAGGCGTAAGTAAGTAATAATAAGTTGGTTGTATATCACGTGACCCTACCTAAACGGATATAATATGTAAGAGTTGATCATTGGCCCGACGATCCTGAATTCAACCCTTGACTGGATTGAGAGTGAGTACCGCTAGGGATCCTTGTGCTGGGACAGAACAGCCATTCTGTCTTCTCCGCCTTTCAACGGTCCTCAAATCGGATAATTCTTTGCCGACGACCTCCTACAGAATATAGTATTATTAACCATAAATGGCAGTAGATATGTTAGGTTACATGCAGAAATATGTCACGTGTGACGAGATTGCTCAACCATGTTTATTAACCTCTAACTAGCAAATAGAAAACAACTCTAACTTTAGAAGATTAATTAACGACAATAATTAATCAGGTAATACAGTAATAATGCTGGTAACAATTCATATAATCTCTAAGAAAAAAGTGAAAATTGCATTTTTAAAAGGAAACGATTATATTTTTCCCTAAAAATGTCACTAATTACAGAGAAAGTGTGAAATGGATAATCAAATTCTTTTAAATAAAAGCTGGACTTAATTTGTTCAATACAAATCCCTACACTTAAGGTGTATTAACTATCCTAGTTCGTAAGATACTGTTCTGCTTTTCTAACTTCCTTAAGTATCTCGTAATTCATTTTTGTATTTGAATATTTTAAATTGGATAAACTGAGATCCCTTTATATACAAAATATACGCTTTTAAACAGTAACTATGCAACTCTCGATAGTCCTGTAAAATAAGATTTATTCCTCTTTTAATATAACTGCTGTCTCCATTGGATCATTTAAGTCAGCTAAAGAAGCAAATTTCATAACCATTTTATTCCATTTTAAAATGTAGGTTCTGCATTGGAGATCGTTTTTATCTACATGAAAACATTATTTTATGTGAACATGATTATATGGAATTATTTCCACACATTTCTACACGTGATATTGATCTGCCTCATCCAGAAAAAAGAAATATTATTTGTTATAAAGCTACTGATAACTCGTGTTTTTGTTCAAATGAAATACTTTCAAGACAAAATTGCACTGATGTTGGAGATGATGAAGATTATGATGATGAAAATAACCAAAAATATCAAATGAATCTCAACTATTCACAATGTATTGCTTCATATATTCAACTATTTACAAAGTGTAAAACACGCATTACTGCTGAACAAAGTTCTTGTGACAATAAATTAATTAGGAATACAGATAATAGACTATGTTCTTTATTAAATCCATTTGATTTAAACTTTCATGATTCCACAACAATATCAGATGACCGTTCAAGTGGTTATGGTTCACCCAGTTCACCGGGGAATAGCTTCCATGATAAGATTTGAATTTCAATGAGAGATATTCTAATAGTATTCAGTCTTCTAATAGACCGATATGTTGACAGTTGTTGAACATTTACTTGGGATATGTTTAAACAAATCAAAATTTTCAGAAAATAAATGGAAATATGGAAGCGTTTATGATTCTTTAGATATAACTAATTAAACAAAAAAAGTAAATGGACATTAAAACAATTTCTTCTTAAACTACCATATTAGAGAACTAAATGATCTAAAAAAGAACAGATCGTATTATCAAATGCATTGTACATTAAGTACTATATATCATAATTAAATTATTTATCCCAACATACTTTTAATGTTTCCTAAAATCATAATTTGTGTAAAAATTATTATTAAAAATCAAACCTTTCAATCAAAATATCAAGAGTTATTCTTCCATAGTTCAAGCGTACATCATAAAACAAGTCAACTTTTGGCCTGAATAAAGTATGACTATTTAGCTTGTGGAGTTAAAGAAGTAATCAGTCTCGTCAGTAATTATTCTACTGTATCATTAATGGTACTAAAGAGAAAGGATATCTTTTCTTTTATGTGTATCTAGATCCGATTAAAGCGATTTGAGATTGACATGTGTTACTAAGGTGAAAACCACAACTGAAAAATGAAATAATCAGCAAGCAAATGTTCCGAAATATTTTTACAAGTTAATTTTACATCCTGTAATTACAGTATTGAATAAACAAAACGTCAAATTTTCGAGTTAAGTTCATAAGTTCACAGCAGAATGTAGAAATTTCAAAATTTAACCAAACGTTTACCGAAAAAAAATTGATAACCTGGAAGCAAACACAGTGATGAAGATTTTTTTACCAGAAATCTATCCAATGTTCGTAAAAATCTATATTTTCAAAATACAGCCGTGTTCGTTGTCTACCCACTTAATTGTGAAAGAGCGATTTTGAATAAAGAAGGCTTCATGAGTTTTGAAAAACTCTTTAATAGTATTACAAAATGATCCACAAGTATTTCTTTAAAGAGTTAATTCGAGAAGGAATACTTAACCTTCATATTTAGATCTTCTTTTATAAAATAGAAAGTGACCCACAAAATCGGAATCTTACGATCACTTACAAATTCTCCGAGTTGCGTTCATCTTTATTTAATTCAACATACAGGGTACATAAGTGTATTATTTTTTTGGACAAGATGAGTCAGTTTGTAGATAATTTATTATCTTATTTTTCCCGTCACTATTAATAACAGAAACACTATGTGTAATTTTAACAGACAGTTTGAATTGATATGAATCTTGTGACTATCGGTAGTTGATCACAAGTACGAATATGATTTCAGTGCTTAAATGAAGGCTTCAATAACAACTTTTTAGAACTCAAAAAATACAGGAATTATTGTGAGATAGCGGCTGTACACTTGACATGGATAGCTTAGTCGACTGAAGGGAATGAAAGTCTGGCAAGTAAACAGAAAATCAACCTTGGGAGTGTTGAATATGCCAAACGTATCGACTGTTAGCTAGAAGAATACGCAATAATTAGCTTCTCAAAACACCTTGAAACATTGACGGATTGTTTAGAAAAAAGACAGTGTAGTGTATGCTAATTATGTCTGTTGACATAATTAGTATGCAACACCAGTCGGAAGTGGAAAACCTGGCAGCAGAAGGCTAAGAAGATCAAGTTGAAGAGAATAGAACGAAAAATGGAAAGGAATTGTGGACTGGAAGAATCATACAAAAACGTGAAGGACAAATGGTAGAAATTCGCAAATGTAGTAGTCAGTGTATTGTTCTTATATTTTACGAAGATGTTCTAGAATTTTGCCTCCACCTCAGTGTTTGTTCGTTACAATAGAATGGAGAATGAATAATGTTCTTACGTCATAACATACTCCTATTGGTAAACTTTCTCCCATTCTCTTTTATTACTTTTATAGTAATTATAATCTTACTCCTCTAGAGTTTCTAATTAAATACACAAAATCTTATATTACGCTTACTTAAATGAATTGACTTTGAAGAATCACCTTATCTTCACCACGTATTTATGACCCTCGAACTGATATTGGACTGCCCTTATCTGATATAAATGAAGACTTTCATTGCATAATCCTTAACTACCACTGCATAAATTCTTATCCTGCCATCAAATCTTACTACTATAATGATTTATTTTAAATCCGTTAAGTAATACATGTATTACCATTTATTCTTATTCTGTTTCTCGTACATACTCATTAAATTATCGACACGTTTCATTTTTAATCCCTTTCTTATTTTTTAAAGTCAACTTAATATTCTTCTAATTACTACAAAACCTGCTTAAATATGATGAATACCATGTAAACGTTATTGAAACTTGTGTATAACTGCGTTCACGAGGAAACCTGAAACGGTTTTCTCGCAACACTTATGTTGAAATTAGCTGTTTGTGAATAATAATAATAATAATAATAATAATAATAATAATAATAATAATAAACTTATACACCCAACAAGATATAAGTACCACATATAAATCCAGTTATTAGTTCAACTACTAAATTTTAAATTAACAGTATATTTAGTGTCACACTCGATTCGTGGTATAGAAAGTACGAAGACCTGTTCCGAGGTGACCCTAGTAAAATCAACGATACTGTATAATCCAATCTCTGTATTAGTTTCATTCTTCCAACTTCAATAATTAATAACCCCCAGGGGGCTGATAATATATCTTATTCCTTCCATAAAAATAGACATCCCACGTATTTTTATTTTAGTGCCAAAAATGGTCAATAGATCCAACGAACATACATATTCCCCGGAGTCAACAAGAACTACACATATTACTCATCATTAAGTTAGCTATAAGATATGTCTAATTATAGGACAGCTGATATCACTTCAGTCATTTCATGGATTCCGAATTTTTCCCGATTACACCTTACTTCCTCTAATCGACACGAGCCTTTGAAATCATGCTCAAACTGGACTTTAGATTTTGGATCACATAATTAATCATAGATACAAGGGCTGTATTAATTTTTTTTATATCTTAAATTACGAAAGGATTTCAGTTTGTCTTCACACAGACAGTTGTTTTATCTTTTAAATTCTACAGTATAGAAGTGCCTTTACTCTGCTGACTTGACCTCAGCTTTAACCATATGTTGAAAGTATCAGAAAATGAGTCCACCCATTACCAGTTGTGAAGTAAGCCCAAAACTTTAATAATATGATATGGTTATGCATGTGTCACTGCTAAATCAGGAAGGGTTTTTTATGTATGCTGAAAACTTCGAAGTCGTATATTCTTTTCTTTCTTGGAGATGAAAAATGGCACTGTAAACAATTTTGGGCATCCTGTAATCCAGTCGCACAACGAATGTCACAACAAAAAACACTTGTCAATAATCTTTTCATGTGCTAGTGAAATGTTTGTATTGCTATATAATCACTGGACACGTTGAAAACCAGAGGTCGTAAAACAAATAGTTGGTGAAGTTCTATAAACTGTCTGGGAAACATCAGGAAGCTTGATGGAACAGATATATCAGGCTTGAAAAATGCGAAACTGTAATTTGTTGATGAACTAATCGAATTTAAGAAAGCGGGTCTCAGATTGCAGCGCGAAACCCATCCATCCACATGACTAAGTAGGATTCTGGACTTATAGCTTACATCACTTCGTGAAGGAAACCATGATTCCAATTCTTATCCCTAACTTATAAATCTAAATCCTCATTTTTATCTTTCTTATTAATTTATAACCCTCAATAGATCACAGTAGGTTGGTGAATTTCCTCAAGGTTAGTCTGACATCGCTCAAAGGTCAACCGTAAGTTATAATCCTATCGCTCTAGTTAATCAACCAGATTTGAAATAGCATCCCACGATGTTTGCGTGAAATCAAAGGCCTAGTGAATGGTGACTTTTCTCACTAAGCCTATTTGAAAAATCACCTTTTTAATGTGCTGAAGCACGTTGGATTATATATATATATATATATAACCTCAAAATAGTAATTACAGAATTCACGCCAGTTTACAGTCATGATCAGTTTGATATAAATAGTAACATTAAATGTGAGGAACAAACATATGATATAAGATTGTTTTAAGTTCATTAGTTCAAAAATTGTTTAGGTAGTACATTTATGACACATTATAGCAATGCAATGCATCGGCCAGTAACTTTTAATTCTACTTAAGTGGACATCCTGTTGATTTATGAACGGTGCATTTAAGGTCATTTCTTGTACATGATGTGATTCAAGGCATAGATGCGAGTGTTTGTGTTATTATTAATTATCACACACCTTAACCTCGCCTCCTTTGTAAGATACATTTTAGATGTTTTGTGTGTAAGAATCCCTCCATGTTTACACTTGCAGTTTGTTCCTATTGATTCTTTTAGTTGTACATTGTTAGTCTTCTGGTAATATTTGTATTTTATTATAGTTTTTATTTTTCTTACGCCTTTACTAAGTTTCTGTGTTTCTTCCTGAACTGCATTTATGTTGTTTTACTTGATACTTAGTCTTGGCGGCAGCTATATTGGTTTGTTTCCCTTTTGACCGTCTTGCTTGTACTGACTGAAATTATGCATTTTTGATTGTGAATTGAAGCACTCTTCCAGAATTGAAAACACACTGTGTTATAAAGCAACAAAATATTATCTTTTGAACGAATCTGTGCGTGGTCTATCCAGACAGAATAAAACAGCATTTGTTTGTTGCGATTGGTAATTTTCTCGCATCCTTTGTCAACTTCCTTATTTATTGTAATTTAGATTTGATTAATTGATTAATTATTGGTTGGATAGCTGGGTGGTCATATTTGTCTAGGTAATAATGTACATTTAAATTTATAATGAATTTTAGAACCGTCATTTTACCCACTTACTTTGTTTTGGTTCCAACCGGGCAAGGGCGCGTATCTAACCCACCTAAACAGCTATTCTTCAGTCCAAACCTTAGTTTGGATCTTACATCCTTAACCTAACCAAAA